GTCAACCTTGGCGGGGGCAACCCTGGCGGGGCCCTGGCGGGGGTGACTACTAATGGGAAACCCTGGCAATTAATTAATAGAGAACTTTGACAGGGCCCTTCGCACTTGAAGCCCTGCTCGGCAACTAAACAAAACTTCATAGAGAAGGACGACGAAGCCTCGCCGAGGTGCGTAGGGCCGTCGCAGAGAAGGTGCACAATTCCTGAGTAGGCGACGTGAGGAGGCGCGGAACCCTGACAGGGCAACCCGACAAGGGCAATGTCACCCTGGCGGGGGCAACCCTGGCGGGGCAACCCTGCCAAGGGCAACCCTGCCAAGGGCAACCCTAACTCGGCGGCAACCCTGGCGGGGGCAACGCCTGGGGGCAACCCTGGTGGGGGCAACCCTGGCAGGGGTAAAACTGGGCAACCCGGCGGGGTTGCGATAAAAACCATTAAATCTACTGGACGTCTTAATTTTAAAATAGAATGACATTGAAAGACTTCTCATAAAGTAAAATAGGATGAAAGATAATGAATCCTGCGCTTTTAGCATAGCATATTGGCATAAGAAATACCATTCAGGTACGATATGTAAGGGAGTAAGTAATCCACATGCTTCTGCTGCATTCACTGGATGTGAGAAAGAAGAGAAGCCGAAATGAATTTGAAGAAGATATAGATCGAGAATTAATATCTTTCCATAGAAATCTTTACTTATAATGCAAGGGAAAAATGCATTTTATTATTAGTGGAATTCCTGAAAGGAATATTAGAAGATAGAAAATGTAGATTAAAAATATGAAAAATGGCGGGGACAACCCTGGGCATCCTGGCGGGCAACCCTGGCGGGGGCAACCCTGGCGGGGCAACCTGACAGGGCAACCCTGGCAGGGGCAACCCTGGCGGGGGCAACCCTGGTGGGGGGCAACCCTGATGGGGGCAAACCTCGGAGACAACCCTGGCGGGGGCAACCCTGGCGAAGGTGAGGTATAAACATATATTTATTTCTATATGTCTGGACCCTGGCGGGGGCCACTAATGGAGAACTTTGGCAGGGCCCTTCATAGACAAGGACAACGAAGCATACAGGTGCACAATTCCTGAATAGGCGGCGAGGCCAATTTCGGGGGCAACCGGACAAGCCAACCCTGCTGGTGTCACCCTGCCGGGGGCAACCCTGGCGGGGGCAACCCTGGCGGGGGCAACCCTGCGGGGGCAACCCTGGTGGGGGCAACCCTGGCGGGGGGCAACCTGGCGGGGGCAACCCGAGCAGGGCAACCCTGGTGCGGTGGGGGCAACCCTGGCGGGGGCAACCCTGGCGGGGACAACCCTGGCGGGGGCAACCTGGCGGCGACCCTGGCCTTGGCGGGGCAACCCTGGCCAGGGCAACCCTGGCGGGGGCAACCTGCCAGGCCAACCCTGGCGGACGGGGGCAACCCTGGCGGGGGCAACCCTGGCGGGGGCAACCCCGGCAGGGGCAACCCCGGCGGGGGCAACCCTGGCGGGGGACAACCTGGCGGGGGCAACCCTGGCAGGGCAACCCTGGCACGGGGCGGCAACCTGGCTGGTGGGGGCAACCCTGGCGGGGGCAACCCTGGCGGTGGCAACTGTGGCGGGGGAGCAACAGCTTCTTAGGCCCGACCTCCCCCACCGGGGTCGCGTGTCGGGGGTTTAGGGTTAATCCATTATTACATTGTGCCCTATGGCTAGCAGGGCTGCATCAGGTGTGGCAAGCTCGATCTGCTTGGCAAAGCAAGCAGATCTCGAAGCGGTAGCGTTCAGTTGTACCGGCCGCCGCCTGGCGCGGGCGGCCTATGGTTTAGGGTTTAGGGTACAGTGGACCATCATGTTCAGGATGATTCAAAGTTTCAAAGAAGGCTCCCTGATGTCGGGAATTTGGAGGGAGGCTGATTTCGAACCACCAAGATTCGGAGGCATGCGGGTGAAAGCAGTGTAAGGTACGAAGCCGCTAGAATAGTAGGTAGTTCCTTTGGGGACCAAACGAACCCTAAATTTGGGGTCATCTACCCTATACTACTCTGAATTCCTCTTCAGGTATATGAACCATAAACCAATCTAGGGTTCATTTGGCTCGAAACCCTAAACCCTAACCCCTAAACCCCAAACACTAAGCCCTGTCCCTTTTCTGGGGTTCATCATAGATTCCCCTACTACCCCCCCCTCTTTGGGGTTGAGGTTTAGGGCTACTACCCCCCCCCCCCCCCCCCCCTCCCCCTAGGGGAGAATTAAGCCTAAGGGGGGAACCTGGAAAGGGGGGTAGTATAGAGGCAGTTAGTACGGAACCCATGATTTCAACGTTCCCTTAAACAGCAGCCAACCAGAAAGGGTGCCCTGATTATAACGTGGTTTAGGGTTTAGGGTTTAGGGTTTAGGGTTTAGGGTTACGGGGCTGCCACGACTTTCTGTTCCATGCCGAGGACAGGAGCGCTTCCGCACTGTCTGTGCCAGCTCCACGGCACAGTGACGCCTTCCCTAAGCCCAGTCCCGAAACCCGTTAGGGTTTAGGGCATAGGGGTTGGGTTTTGGGGTTTAGGGTTTTGGTTTGGGGTTTGGGGTTTAGGGTTTACTTGATGCCTGAAAAGCTTCTTAAAGCCTGAGGTTAACGCCCTAAAGCCCTCAACCTTGTAACCCCTGGACACCCAAACCAAGGCCACTGCCAAATTACTGGAAGATGGCCTTGTATTACGCAAATTTAGGGTCTGTTTTTGTTGCGATTTCAGTGTATACAAGAGGACCCGATGTTTCGAACCACACGCCAACAAACATGTCGAACCCCAACTTGCGAGACAACCTCCTACCCCGCCTCGCCCGCGTTAGCTTGAGTTATCGGTCTGGGGTTTGGAGTGTTGTTGCCTTGTTATATCAGCGAACATCCTACTCATGATGTGTGACTTTGGGTAACACTCTTCCAGGACCAAATGAACCCGGTGTATGACTTATTCATATGGTCCCCAAGGTTTAGGGTGTAGGGTCTAGGGTTTAGGGTTAAGCCATCCGCTGCAGGCTACTACAGGGGCGCGCAAGGGATCATCGTAGCCTTCGACCTGACAGCCGCGTGGGTCTTCATTGTTTCTTGTTTGCTGGTTTGTGGCCTTTAGTTAGTAAGTTTATGGTCTATGCGGTGTTCGGGTTTAGAAGGTTTGCCGCAGTTTGCCAGGGTCGCATACTTTGGGGTCGAGGGCTGGGGCTTTTGGCTTTCGGTTTTCAGATGTAGGAAGATGATTCAGAAACCCTAAAACCCTAAAACCCTAAACCCTAAACCCCAAGCCCCAAGCCCCAAGCCCCTCACGTGTTTTATAGCGTATATGCACAACTTGAAATGTTTTGCTGATGGCAACGGCGCACCACCCCCCTGGCTTGGGATTCACCAGCTAGAGAGCTCTAGTGAGCACAGCGGTCTTCTCAGGTTTAGGGTTAAGTTTTTTTTCGTTAAGGGTGTTTTTTAGAGTTTAGGGTTTTCGGGGTTTAGGGTTTAGGGTTTAGGGTGTAGGGTTTTTCGGGTTTAGGGTATCGGTTCTGTCCCTGTGCAGTCCCCGAAAGTCCGGCACGCCCAAAGTGTGTAACCGATGCGCATTGTGTGTCACCGTTGCGCTACTTGAAGTTAGAACCTGGGGGACCAAAGAACCCTAAAATTGGGGATCCTGTACCCTATACTACCATAATTCCTACTAAGGTATATGAACCATAAACGCTTTTGGGCTTCGTGTCGTCCCAAGGAAGAGCGATGCAAGACAGTCACTCTTAGATGAGCTCATCGGTCAAAACACATGTCTTCAACATCCTTTCATGAGTGTCCATTTCTTGTTCCGGCACAGACCTTTCTTAACCAACTGCCTCCATGCGCAAGAAGGCGTCCTTCCCCTCCACCTCATGTTTTGCTTCTCAGGGAGGACATCAGAATGCAGAGAGTTAGTTCAGTCCCTCCCTCTCTTTCCGCGCTCTCTCTCCCTCTCTCTCTCTCTCTCCCCTGGCCTTCCTCGGACCCTGATGACCGCTGTGTGCGGTTAGGGGCCAAGGGCGTGGGGTTGACGCGATTTGACGCCCTAAACCCTAAACCCTAAACCCCAAACCCCAAACCCCAAACCCCAAACCCTAAACCCTAAACCCCAAACCCACGGTTGCTGAGATGGGCCCACCCAGGACCGCGAGTCCTTTCACAACGTGCGGCGATGGCTGGAGGAGAAGGGGCCCAACACCTTCTTCGGACTAAACAAACCCTAAAAGGGTTTAGAAATTAAATGCTTAGGGTTTAGGGTTTAGGGATTAAATGATTAGGGTTTAATTAGGGATTAAATGATTAGGGTTTAGGGTGTGGGGTTTAGGGTTTAGGGTTTAGCGTGAAAAGTTACTTCCTTAAGGACGAAGTGAACCCCAACAGGGTTCATGGTTCACATACTCGAATAGGGCAGGGGTTATATAGTAGTAGAGGGTGGAATGCACCCAAAGGGAGAGATGTGTTTTCTTCTCCCCCTTCTAAGGCTGTGTGCGTGTGTGTGTGGATTTTGTGGCCCTTTGTGCTAGTTGTGGTACAGCATGTCAAAACCGCAAACTCCACCCTTGCATGAGGCCGTGGGCATGAGAAACTCCCCCAAAGAGGTTCTCAGCAGTCTCGGTCCCCCCTGGCAGGAGATTGAGAAGTACGCGCAGGCAGGTGTCAACAAGATGCTGGTGGGCAACAAGTGCGACCCCTGGCAAAGAATCAACCTTTGAACCCCCGCGCAGGGTCTTTCGGGTGTAGGGCCCTTTGAAGACCAAGTGAATCCTAAAATGGTTTATGGTTCATTTAAAATGAAGGAAAATTTCCTGCATCGGAAGTACAGTAGCACAGGGCATAGGATCCCCAATTTTAGGGTTCATCTGGTCCCCAAGGGTTTGGGGCTTTCCTAAACCCTAAACCCTAAACCCTAAACCCTAAACCCTAAACCCTAAACCCTAAACCCTAAACCCTAAACCCTAAACCCTAAACCCTAACCCCTTTCTCATGGGGCTGCCAAGGACATGGCATCAAAGCGGGCAGTGACCTATGATGAGGCGGGCAAATAAGACGAGACTTCATCATGAGAGACGTGAGAATCCTTACCCCCAGGGTCCATGTACCTTACTCCTATATACTTGGGCCCCAAAAAACCCTATGTAGGAAGTACCTTAAGGCGCCTAAGTCTTCCCTACTACATGGACCCCTCGGGTTGCAACTCTTCGTCCGGATTCTGTCTCTCTCTCTGTAATTCATGTAAGGACACCAGTTCGAATTTCTCAAGACTCCAGCACGCTCCATTTGCCTTTTAGGGTTTAGGATTTAGGGTTTAGGGTTTAAGGGTTTAAGGGTTTAGGGTTTAGGGTCTTTGCATGAGACCCAGTCAGAGATGGTAGCAAGCCTGCTTGTTGGAAATGTCTTCATAGTTGCTTATATAGCAGCTTGCAGATCAGCATGGAGCGTCAAGATTCGTTACGCGTGCTGGTTCTTATACTGAAGTCACTGATCGTTTCTGCAGTGCGCAGTGAATTCAACATCATTCGTGACCAACGCTGGCTTTTGTATGCGTAAATTGGGGGGCGCAGCATCCAAAGCTGGGTTTCGCACTTGGATGCAATGAGTTCCCCGCCATCCAATGCTGGCTTATATGTCTTGGGCGGCTGGGTGTTATCTGGGTTTTGTATCTGGGGCCATGAATTGCGCATCATGCGAAGTTGACTTTCGTATTTGGAGGGCAAGAAATTCCACATCATCACAAGCGCGAGGACTCGTCCCAAGGTAACCGCCCTGAACCCTAAACCCTAATCCGCAAACCCTAAACCCTAAACCCTCCCGGTTCCTGAGCCCCTCAAAGCCATAGTCCGAGCTGTGAGCGCCCCCCCCCCCCCCCCCCCCCCCCCCCCCCCCCCGAAAAATAAAAGAAGAAAGAAATGGTTCAGGGTTTAGGGTTTAGGGTTTAGGGTTTTGGGTTTAGGGTTTAGGGTTTTAGGGTTTAGGGTTTAGGGTGTAGGGAAGTAACACAAGAAAAGACATACAAATCAAACTCTAACCCCTACATCCCCCACAGCCCAAAAAAAGCCCAGAAAAGGACGCCCCAACAACGCCCTAACTCCCTGAACCCCTACCCCCTCCCCCCCGAACCTCCCAACAAATTTAAGAGCCTCCGGCTCAAGCCGCCGACCCCGCTGGAGCATAGTTGAAAGGTTTAAACGCGCTCGTCAGCTCAAAGGATGCCAAAAAAGTTGATGTGCTTGAGCCTCTGTGAAACGTTGGGACCCAAACAGGAGCTGAAGCCAGCTTTGAAGGCCAGGCAGCCCAATCAATTGGTAGGGGGGTTAAGGGGGGGGGGGTAGGGGGGGTAGGGGGTGAGGGGGAGGGGGGGGGGGGTAGGGGGGTCGGGTAAGGGGGGGGGTGCGGGGGGGGGTAGGGGGGGGGTAGGGGGGGGGGTTTAGGGGGGAGGGAAGGGGGGGTAGGAGGGGGGGAAAGGGCCCCTATGTTGCGAACGGTCCGTGAGTTTATGCGGTGTGGGTGGCCTGGCCCTCCATGGAAAAGCTGCCCGGGTACCCCCCTACCCCCCCCGGAAATAAGGAGGGAAAGAGGGAGGTTTTCACCTCCTTTTCCCATCCAACACGCCGCCAGGGTCGGCGGAAGCCCTACCACCCTGAATTCCCCCTAAAGGACACCCTAATTAAAGTCTAAACCCTAAATCCTAAGGCCTAAGCCCTAAACCCTAAACCTCAAAACCTAATCCTAAACCCAAACCCTAAACCCTAAACCCCAAAAGCACACCTCCAAAAAGCGTCCCCGGGAGGCCCGCGAACTGGCCGAGGAGCTTGGCTTGCGCTTTTCGGCAGCAGACGGCGGTTCCCTTACAGGGTTTAGGGTTTAGGGTTTAGGGTTTAGGGTTTAGGGTTTAGGGTTTAGGGTTTAGGGTTTAGGGTTTAGGGTTTAGGGTTTATGGTTTATGGTTTAGGGTTTAGGGTTTAGGGTTTAGGGTTTAGGGTTTAGGGTTTAGGGTTTAGGGTTTAGGGTTTAGGGTTTAGGGTTTAGGGTTTAGGGTTTAGGTGTTAGGGTTTAGGGTTTAGGGTTTAGGGTTTAGGGTTTAGGGTTTAGGGTTTAGGGTTTAGGGTTTAGGGTTTAGGGTAGGATTTAGGGTTTAGGGTTTAGGGTTTAGGGTTTAGGGTTTAGGGTTTAGGGTTTAGGGTTTAGGGCATCCGAGGCTACCTGGAGACCAGCGCCAAGCACGCCCACAACGTCGAGGAGGCCTTCACGCAGATGGCCAAGGCGGCAAGCCTTAGAAACCCTAAACCCTAAACCCCAAACCCTAAACCCTAAACCCTAAACCCTGTACCCTATAGGGAAGCCTTGCGAACCCTGAACCCTGAACCTGGAACTCTAATTACGAATTAAACTTATAAAGCCTAAACCCTGAACCCTGAACCCTAAACGCTAAAGTCTATACCCTAAACCCTGGACCCTGAACTCCCTAAGCCCTGAACCCTCAGCCGCGTCAAGGCGCGCGAAAGTATCTGCACAGGATGCAGGCATCGTAAAGGTAAGGTAGCATTTGAGGGTTTGGGGGTGAGGGTTTAGGGTTTAGGGTTTAGGGTTTAGGGTTTGGGGTTAAGGGTTTACCCTTTTTTTCTTCTAGGGATGCTCGATGAGTTTGAACTAGGGGATAGTCCGGTATAGCGGCAGGGACCCGTAGAAGGGAGCAATCATCCTACTATCCTGTATGAATAATTAGTTAAATCTCTAGAATATATCTGGGTATATATATATATATACATATATATATATATATGGGTATAGATATATGTATATATATATATGTATGTATGTATGTACGCACATATAGGGAGAGAGTCGTGTAGGTCCCACAGGGTTCCTTCTCTGAGGGTCCCTGCTTCGTCCCTGAACGGAAGCTGCTGAGATTGGCAGCGGGGCTGGGGCTTAGGGGTTTAGGGGTTTAGGGGTTTAGGGGTTTAGGGGTTTAGGGGTTAGGGTTTAGGGTTTAGGGTTTAGGGTTTCGGGGGATTGGGGAATTGAAGCCTTGGAGGACCCCTCGGCCCTGCCCTACCGTGGGAACCCCAAAGCGTGATGATGATAGAACTCCTCATGCCATTCTTGGGTAACCTAGAAAATGGTAGGCTTTGGGAGGTTCTTCAGGTAAACACCTTAAACCCTAAACCCTAAACCCTATATACCCTAAACCCTAAATAAAGCGTGAGGAGATCAAGGACCGGGTGTCCGTGCAAGCTCCGCCAACGGTGCTCCCGCCCAGGCGCACTCGATGGGTTGGGGTTGTGGGGGTTTAGGGTTTAGGGTTTGGGGTTTGGGGTTTGGGCTTTGGGCTTTGGGCTTTGGGCTTTGGGGTTTGGGGTTTGGGGGCTTGAGTTTGTTGGGGCAATTCTGTGTGGAGGCGAAGAAGAATGAGAAGGTCTTGAGCTCGAGGCGGCCCCCGCAATCCCAGAACAAACCCTAAACCCTAAACCCTAAACCCTAAACCCTAAACCCTAAACCCTAAACCCTAAACCCTAAACCCTAAACCCTAAACCCTAAACCCTAAACCCTAAACCCTAAACCCTGACAAACCCAAAGGAGCTTGGCGGGTTGAAGGTTTAGGGTTGCGGCTTTCAGGGCTTCTCGATCCGACTCTCCACTCGGCAGCTCAGTGCACCTAACCCCTGAATCCATTGGATCCCCAACCCCAAGCCCACAAGCCAGCAACCCTTAATCCTGAACCCTGAACCCTAAACCCTAAACCCTAAACCCTAAACCCCTACCAAACCCTAGACCTCCCCGGGGCCTGTCCACGCCTTCTCAGGACGATCCTGGCTCCCGGGCGCCAGGTCTCTGGGGTCAACTGCTGCCAGCAGTAAGGCGTGCGTTTCCAGGTTTTAGGGTTTAGGGTTTAGGGTTTAGGGTTTAGGGTTAGTGTTCAGAGTTTAGGGCTTAGGGATGTTTGGGGTCTAGGGTTCTTTGTAGGTCTGAGGTAACCAGGCTCGCATGATTTCGAAGACTTGTGTTCGGGTGTGGGGGATGTTGGGCTTGTGGATGATCGCAGTTTTGTCGCTGCTGCGCGCTTGGATGCGGTCCTCGCGGCAGAGCCTGCCCTGCTGTACAGCTCTTTGGGCAAACTCACGTGCGCCAGGCGCGAGGGGTGGGGGGTTGCCTGAATAAGGTTTACATGAACCCCAATATGTCCCCCTTCATGAACCTTAAACAGACCCTCAGACCAAAGCATTCGAATCCTAAACCCTAAACCCGAAACCCTAAACCCTAAACCCTAAACCCTAAACCCTAGGCATTCGAATCCTAAGCTCGGCCCCGTTGAAAGCCCTCGAAGTCCTTGTGTCCGCAATAAAATGACTTGGGTAGCTTAGTTGTGCCCTTTACTTTTTTTAGTGCTGGGTTCCCTAAACCCCAAACCCTAAACCCTAAACCCTAAACCCTAAACCCTAAACCCTGTTGCGAGGCATGCCCTCGAAGAAAGTCCGAAGATTCCCGGCGTTCCGTGTCTAAGCCAAAACCCAAAATTCCCGAATCCTAGAAAAAGTAAAGAATCCCCAAACCCTGAATCCCTAAACCCTCACCCTAGAATCCCCATGCACCAAACATCCCTCAAACCCTGAACCCCTAAGCCCTAAACCCTCAAACCCTAAACCCTAAGCCCTAAGCCCTAAACCCCAAACCCTAAACCCTGAACCCTAAACCCTAAACCCTGAACCTCCAGGATGACATGGGGTCAGGGCTGTTGATTTCTTGCATGCTCACTCCGAGGTTTTGGGTTCAGGTTTAGGGTTTAGGGTTCAGGGTTCAGGGTTCAGGGTTTAGGGTTTAGGGTTTAGGGTTTAGGGTTTAGGGTTTAGGGCAAGTTCACGGAGCCCCTGCCCTCTCGGGGCTTAGGGGCCAAATTAGGGTGTTCAGGGCGGTTTTGGGGGGCGGGCTTTGGTTCAGCTTGCCTGAGGATGTTGGAGATTTAGGGTTTAGGGTTTAGAGTCAGGGTTTAGGGTTTAGGGTTTAGGGTTTAGGGTTTAGGGTTTAGGGTTTAGGGTTTAGGGTTTAGGGTTTAGGGTTTAGGGTTTAGGGTTTAGGGTTTAGGGTTTGTGGTTGAGGCTTGAGGGACAGCCAACGCCAGAAAGAGGGCCCCACCTCTCGGACGCTTGGGGGCACCGGCCCCGGCCGCGCACGAAGCTCCAAAGATGGGGTTGGCGGCACTTTATGCAGGCTGCCTCCCCGCTGAGCTGCAGGGAGCTTCAGGTGCTTGCGGAAAGAGCGGGAGAAAAAGGGTTTAGGGTTTGGGGTTTAGGGATGTTTAGGGTTTAGGGTTTAGGTTTTAGAGTTTAGGGTTTAGGGTTCAGGGTTCAGGGTTGGGTACTCTTCAAGTCTGCAAACCCTAACACCTAACGGTTCTAGTGAAAGGCCCACTCGGCTTGTTGCGGCTGTGCTCACATCCTCGAAAACACTCACAACACCTCCTACATCCCAAGACTCTAAACCCTATAAACCCTAAACCCTGCATGGACCCTAACCCCTAAAACCCCTAACCCTAAACCGCTGAAAGAAGGATTCCGCAACCCCAGACTTACTCGATCCCAAAGGCCCCCAAGATTTGGGCTTCGAGTTGTTTGTGTCTTTCTTTTATTTTATTTTTTTTTTGGGGGGGGGGGGGGGGGTTGGACGCTAGAAGCGAAGGAAGGCACCAGGCTTGAGTCATCAGGGCTGTGGAGCCTGTAGAGTTTGAGGCTTCGGTTTTTCGTGCTTCGGTCAATTTAAACCCTAAACCCTAAACCCTAAACCCTAAACCCTAAACCCTAAACCCTAAACCCTACAGTTGCTGGGGATTCTGAGTGGGGGAAGCCGCCAACTCCCCACCCCCCTCAACAACAAACAAAAAGCTCTACAATGACTCCCTTATACTAACAGCCCGTTAATCGGGATCTCGGGATCATAATAGGGGGTGCCATAATCCTTGTTAAATAATCCCAGTTAAGGACTGTTAGTCCAAGGGGGAACATCCCAAACTCTACAACGTAAAGCAGCAGGCTTCAAGAGGCTTGAAAAGGGGGTATACAGGCTTGCATACTCCCCTAATGACCACCCGAAAGCCTTCGCCCTACACCCCCCCCCCCCCCCCCCCCCCCCCCCCCCCCCCCCCCCCCCCAATATGTACCCCATACCTAACCTTATACATTCCTAAACCTCCCACCTGAAATCCTCATCCCGCAGCCCCAAACGAAGCCTAAAGGCCCCAAAGCCCTCCGAGTCTCCCTACTTGGAGGTTCATGGGTACTTATTGAAACCACAGTTCTAAGTCTACTTATAACCTGCTTGGGGGACTTAGGGGGGCTTATAAGTGCAGCTAGAATTAGGGCTATAAGTACCCTGAACCCCTAAACCCTAAACCATTGGGGATATAAGTGCCCTGAACCTCCCAGCAGACCCTCAACTGGTTGAAGCTGATTGGCCGAGGTTGCGGCAGCTCTGCGCGACCCAGCGGTAAGGGCTGCTATGAGGCAGAGCTCTTACCTCTGAAGCCCAAACCCGGACTATGCCTAAACCCTAAACCCTAAACCCTCCACCCTAAACGCTAAACCCTAAACCCTCCACCCTAAACCCTACCCTAAATCCTATACCGCCTATACTCTTCATCTGTCGTTGGGGTCCGGTGGGGTTAGCGTTGCAGGGCATGAGGACTCCAGTCCCTTCCTGCTCTTTCGTTCTTTTGTAGTGACAACTTTGCCGGTTTCAGGATAGTCCAGAAGCATTATGAAGAACCCTCCCTCCCCCCAAAAAAAAAACTAATTATCCATTTATTACCCTTATAAGGAAGAATATTTGTTATTCTATGCGGGATTCTTAAGGATATAGTAGTTACTGTTCAGCTCGAGTTGGGGCTTCGGGGTTCTTGGGGCAAGTTCAATCCGTACGCTCCAAGCCCCAAACCTCTGAAGCCACCGAATTGGGATGTTCCCCCCTTGTACTAGCAGCTCCTTATTGGGGATTCCAATGAGGGGTATACTCGAATCCCAAGTAAAGGCTGTTAGTACAAGGGGGAACATCCCAAGGGCCCTAAACCCTAAACCCTAAACCCTAGAACATCCCAGCCTACAAGCCTGTTTTGGGTCTTGACAGGGAGAAGCTCGGTTTCGACCTCGACCTCGACGTGTCCAGCCAGCCTGGATCTTGAAGGGATTAGGGTTTAGGGTTTAGGGTTTAGGGTTTAGGGTTTAGGGTTTAGGGAACTGGGGCTGTCCGCATGCAAATGAGAGCGACTCCGCATCCTGAATTTCCAGACCCCCAACTCTCACGTACACCCCTTACACCCCTGGAACCTCCCCTAACCCCTAAACCCTAAACCCTAAACCCGGTTTTCAGCAGGGTGGACGGGAATCGTCTGAGTCCGTGGTGCCTGCTGATCTACTTGAGGCCATTGAGAGCAAAGAGCTCTATCAAAAGACAATGAGAATCAAATCTTTCCAGGCGTACCAGTGGCTCGTGCACCCACATGCTGCATTCGACTTGCTGTAGTCAGCAGCAGTTCTTGCTCCATTGGAGCAATGTATGTTCAAGTCTATGTCTTGGCAACAAGCAGATGCGTCTGTCTGGAAGCAGACGTCGCCTGTCATTGAGATGGCTTCAGTGCGATCGCCGGCGTTCGATGCTGTGAGACAGCTCGGCCAAATCATGGGTCATGACGGCCAACTCAGACTAAGTGGCGCCAGGTTGGCTGATTTGGCACGAGGCTGGGTTGAAAAGTTGAAATGAAGTATGTATGACACATGCTGCGCAGGAGTCTAGAGTCTAGAGTCTCAAGTCTACAGTTTTGAATTTTGGAATCTAGAATCTAGAACCTAGAATCTAAACTTTAGCTTTGTTGTTGTGGTGGCTAGTGATTCTAGATTCTAGATTCTAGACTTTTCTCTGACAGCGACAGGACTCGGTGGTTGCGACAATGTGCCCGAGAGCTTTCTGCTGAAGCCTTCCTGGTGCTGCGTCATCGGCATCCGTCACCTTATGCACCGCCCGGTGATGCCATATCGTTATCTGCCCTGGTCTTAACCCCTAAACCCTAAACCCTAAACCCTAAACCCTAAACCCTAAACCCTAAACCCTAAACCCTAAACCCTAAACCCTAAACCCTAAACCCCCCATGAACCCTAAATCTCCTAAGCCCCATAAACCCTAAAACCCTAACAACCCCTAACCCCATACATCCCTGAAGCCCTAGAACCTGAACCACCGGAGGAACGAGCAAGAGTTGAACGAGCTCGTCCAAGAGATGCTGGAGGATGCCTCATAGACTCATAGGTCTTATGGATCTTCACTCCCCTTGTAGGGTTTGCAGAGCTCTTTTCGGGCATTCCAGAGGGTTTATAGGGCTCTATAGGGTTTACAGGGCTTGACAGGGCCTTACAGGGCTTGATGGGGTTTAGGGTTTGTAGGGCTTGTTCTAGGGTTTATGGGGTTTGTAGGGTCTATAGGGCTTATGGGGTTCATCGGGGTTTGTAGGCTCTATGGAGCTTAGGCTCTCCAAGAATTAGGGTTTAGGGTTTAGGGTTTTTATGGTTTAGGGTTCAGGGTACAATTACTCTGAGCTCCGGAACGACTACTGCATTTTCAATCTTGCATCAGCCGTCTGGATCGACGAGCCCGGTATCTGCACTGGATATACTCCCCAAACCGTAAACCCTAAACCCTGAACCCTAAACCATAAAAACCCTAAACCCTAAACCATAAAAACACTAAGCCCGAAACCCACTTCTCTCCCCCACTGCTGCAGCCCAATTCCTGAACCCTGAGCCCACCCAAGCCCTATAGAGCCCTGCAAACCCTCCCGAAACCCTAAACTCTAAACCCTAAACCCTAAACCTAAACC